ACATAGTATAAATGCTCGCAAGGTACGGTGATTATTTTTCTTACCCTTTTCTTGCCACCCCCTGTACTCGTGGTCACCAAAAGTGACCGTCATTTGATGACCAATGCATCAAAAGTTTTGCCACATTCCTGAGCACCAAATTGGAATTAATCAATGACATACTATGAGGGCATTGCACTTACCTAGAGCTATATATGCTTGAAATATTTTAGAGAAAGAATGGTGGTAGTGCAAGCAGGACAAGAAAAAGAAAATATACACAGAAGTCACATAGCGGTCACTTTTGGTAACCCCGAATGCTACAGTACAAAGAAGGAAAGAAGGTACAAAGGAAGTTTCCATTAACTATAATTTCCCATTCTCAATTTTTGTACGAACTTATCATAGATTCGTGCTAGGCTCCGATCGTCGCCCTCCCTTTACCCCATTTCATCTACCGCTCCTGCTCGCCCTGCTTTTATGTTGCTCTCCAGTTTTCCAAGTTCTTAGTACTTGCTACAATACTGTTCTGCATCTCGGCCTCCTGCTCCCAATAATAAGATGGCCTTGGGTCCATTGCACTGGCTAAACATCTTCTAAGTCTTGTTTTCAGTATATGATGCTATGATCTTCCACAGAAAGCTCTCCATATATTTTGTCTCGGATCGGCAGACCATAGGTCCTGTGATTCTAATTGAGCTTTCTCGCGGCAGTGGTCACTGCTCTCAACTTTGGCTGTGCCATTCCGATCTCATCTCAGTTCCTACAGCTATGTGCATAAAAGCGCACAACTGTCAAACACGGGAATCATGGGTGTGGGAATGAATGGATGTGTGACTAGTAGGGGTAAACGTTGGAAATACAATGGATTCGGAACGTGCCCTATACTAACTTGAAAGCTGTGGTAACGATTTTGATTTCGGATACTAATTGATTCCCCAGCTGTAATAAAAAGTGTAAGTATCGTAAGCGGGGTATATCAAATTCTTTCCCTTATTATCCTCCGAATTATAGGAGTTCTTGATTCTGCGACCAACTACACTACTCAACAATGCCGCAGCCTGAGCATACCTTACCCATAGATTCTGTATCCTCATCCAATACTCTCACAGTAGCTTTCGAGAAGTTCGCCAACATCACACAAACGGTAAAGGAATATTGCCCTCGAATTCGCATCCTCGTCATGGGCAGGAGGAACGCAGGAAAGACCACGCTGGTGCAAATGATGGCTAACAGTTTGGACGGGGAAGTAATGATTCGCAATGAAGAAGGGAATGAGGTAAGTTTTCATTGAGACTTGGAATATCCAGCGTGCAAGTTAACCCACATCTGTCCAGATTGACCCCGATAATATCCTTCAGCCTTCAGTAGAGGTGAGCTTTTGGATGGCAGAAGCATGCGTCATAAATAAAGCGATTGAATCGGGCAGCGAGGTCGTGCTCATATTGAGTACGAGATTACTTATCCTAGGTATACCGAGAGTATTCGGATATGGCCCGTACTAAACCTCTACGATGCAGCGACAAGGACTACGTTTTTCACGACTCAAGGGGGATGGAAGCTGGTTCTGAAGAAGAACTTAGGACCTTGAAAACGTTTATTAAAGACAAGCAAGAGAAGAGATTTCTCAACCAGCGCCTCCATATTATTTGGTGATATCTGTGCTTTAACCTTACGCGATGCGCTTACTCAATCCCGTTTTCTATAAAAAAGGCTCTGCCTTCCTGTGGATAATGACCGCCCATTGGGACAGCAAGAAATGGCCTTTTTCGAGCATGGAACAGAGGGAGGTCAGTCGTTGATCTTCGTAGTCGTGAACCAGGAATAACTTCATTCTATGCAGTTCCTGTCATCGCCGTGTTTACAAAATTCGAGTGGAGAGTCACTAAAGCCTTCGGCCAATTACGAGATGACGGGAAACCCCTGAAACAGGCCCGAGAAGAAGCACAAGTCAAAGCCTTGATGGACTTCGTTGGGATTCAACGTCAGCGTTTCGCTAACGTGAAGTATCCCCCAGCACAGTTTGCTTATTTACGAGGTGCATACCAGTACCTTTCCCAGTGATCAGAACATAAACGACTACTTATACTAGAATCAGACAAGTCATTTGGAAGCTGTGAAGAACTCAGAGAAATTACTAGGCAGGTGGTACAAAACACAGTAAATCAAGTCCTCTTTTCGGAAATAAAGGACGGTGACATCGAAATTGCAATGGCTATTGCACTCGTGCAGTGAGTAGCTACTCTCTTATTTTTCCATCCATTGACGAACTTGTTAAATCAGTGCTATGGTCTTATCAGGCAAGACTGAGCTCGTAGTCGGAGTTCACAGCCAACTGAGAGAATGGACAATCTTCCTGCTGTCATTATTTCCATACTGGGCAAGTAATAGACTCTCATAGACTGTTGCCATTTTTTAATCATATAGGCTGCGGAAATGCGTCATCAGGATGTGAGTATCTGGATTTCTCCCTCTCTCTTTGGTCTATCCTTTAACATAATTTGTGCAGAATGTGAGCATTAATATTTGGTTCCAGCAGGCCACCTGAAAGACTAACTCTCATTGTATTTCGATCGCAGTATTTTGTGAGCTCTTGAGAACATCGGCAGATTGCATGATACTAATTGTGATCTTCTGTTGTTCCGTCCAGAAAGTATGCTGTCTCATCTACTACTCGGATCTAGGCATTATTCACTAAACGCTATTTCAGGTGGTGAGCCTGCCAACATTACGACCATTCGAAGGTGTACTCACATTCAGCTCTAATCTATTGCCAGACAGTAAGTGACACTGATGATTTACATTATCCTCGAGGCTGAACAAATTTTCAGCATGTGAGCACTTTTCGAGACCTTCGTCGCTGACATCTACACGACCTTCTGATTGCCTCTATTAGCATGTGCGCTCGTCTCTTCTTTAACGGAGCTTGGGACTGACCTCTAGAATGCAGTGGGTATGTCTGATCCTTTTCCAATGTCTTTTGAGAGTAACCAAACGTTTAACTTGTGGTTCTGTGCTAGAACGTAAGTTATTCGAACATATCAAGTTGCCTTCCTGCATTACTAACCCAGTCTGAGTGGGTACGTGGATAGCTTCGGTGGGACCGACTCAAATGACTCAGCTTGTTTTGATTCGGCAGAATGTGAGCCTTCAAAAAATTTTGTTGGCTCTATCAGCTAACAAAGGGCCGGCATGGCTTTTCAGTTTGCTGAAAAACAACTTAACTTAGTGCGTACATTTCATATTAGCGTTTTTCTCTTTCGGACCTTGACCGTTGTCTTGTTAGGCTGTGAGTACATAGTTGGAAGCCCGTTTGAGTGACAGGACGGCGAAAATCCCAACTGACTATATATACAACAGGTCGTAAGTTTTCTTTTTAGTGCGACATTCATTCCTCCTGAAGGATATACAGGAGGTGAGCTTGCCCTCTACCCGTCTGCGGGATACCTTCTTCAGCTTCATAGGTTAACCACCCGCTGGCGGCCTATGTGGATCTAATTGTAGAGGCATGTCTTTCCTGGGTGAGGATCATACTTACATTTCCGGCATCTCAATGACCAATACTTATTGTTAGGTGGATTCAAACTTCAATAAGGATCTACAGTTACTCACCTATTTTATTGGTGAGTATCCTATGCAAATTCAGAGCCTACACAGTCAACCAATTTACTATACAGATGTCCTGATGATTGCGGAACACTCGTTCTGGTTCGAAAGTAGAAGGCCTTGGGAACATATTGGTGACACAATCGCTGACTATGACAATTGCCTGCAACGCAAGTCGATTCGGCCTACCATTGACAGATTGTTCAAGACAATGAACCATCAAAACTATACATTTGGTTTGGAGGGTCCTCTTCAAAGCCCCAGCTTGCAAAAATTAGCAATAATATACACACCTTTGTTGTTGCATCATCGATTGCCCCCAATGAGCTCATGTAGGCATTCTCGACTCAGATTTATAGGTTGCTACTGCCTGCTGAGATTAGCATACTTTACAGGACCTATCTCAGAATTAGTTGTAAATTATTGGCTTATATCTACCAATACTGCTTGTAAGGCTGTAGTTACTTCGTAAACTGTGCTCTAGTCCTCAGTGCACGATAAGTCATCATTCAAAGATTAAAGCTGAATTTGAGCTAAATATGAGAGCTCCATGATTCAGATCCGATATTAGAATGTCACAGACAAAGCCATGTCATGACTGAAGAATACACACCGTTATGCATTACAGCAGTCAATCGATGGCAAAGTCGCGAGCAACATGTAAGTAAGAGTGTTAGGCACACTCCACCCCCTTCATCGGCTCATATCCTGGGCATTGCCCTTTTCTATTCTAGCAACCTCTGTCTGACTCAGCCCAGAATTTCTGCTGTTTCTGTGATTATATGAACATCCGCTATTTTGGATCGACATCACATTATAACCCCAGCTTTGTTTTCTTCAAATGTTCCAATTGCAGACCAACTGAGATAGACATCCTATACTTACTCTAGCTAATAAAACACCAAGTTCTTTTAATCACAGATGAACCAAGATTGTACATGTTAACAGAGATGACCCTTTGTTCACAAATCAAGAAAGCCCCTAATCTAAACTGATGGATAATTATGCCAGGAAACAGGATAGAATATCACAAGTCCAGAATGAAGTGCTTATAATTTGATACCATTAATTTTCTCTCATCCCTTCATCCAATGCTTAGATTTCTACAGGAAATCTTGCAATTTGGGCTTGCATGCTCTTTAGCTTCCAAACTCATACCCACAAACTTCAAAATGATAGTGCAGTTCCAGTTTATCAGATCACTGTTCATACAGCAGCAATAGTATTATCATTACCCTTCAAGTTCATATGAAAATATACAACATACAGCTATGGAATGCTTGCACCTCAGATACACACAAGTAATGATGAGGTACACTATATTAGAAGTCCTACAATCTTGGTGTAGATGTAAAGTCCCATGGGTTGGGCATGTGTTAGCAGTGCCAGATGTTTGAGCTTGCAGTTGTACTCATGACTGGATAGCTCAGTGGTTAGGGCATGTGATGGTATTTTACCAGAAGGTTCTGGGTTCAATTCCCAATCTGGACACTTCCAGTGTTGCCACAGTCTGGTCCATGAACCTGGTGAACCTGTCCAAACCTGAACCTTCTGAACCTCCAATCTCTGAGGTATACTTGAAGGTCAGTGACTACACAAATTCTGAAGTTTTTCCAGCTTCCTATGTAGCAAAAAATCAATTTTGAAATGAAGTTTCATTCTATCTCAGCAATTGACCAAATCCTGCACAGATTGTGATCATCATGTTATGTGATGATTATATCACTGTCCTGAATCTGGTATTTTGTGGGGTTCTGTAGCAAGTGTTAGCCTCATACTATATTAATCCTTGACCAATATACAAAAATCTGTGTAAAGGTCCAATTTAGGGGGGGGAAAGGCCAAGAAAAAAAATATTGCTTAATTGAAGGTTCAGCAAAAAGAGCAGGTTTGCAGACCAAACTGAACTGCGGCAACACTGGACACTTCAGAAGATCAGTTAAGTGGTATAATCCTGACACTTTGCCAGAACTGAGTTATCTTGGATGATATGTTTCATGCAAATTGTGAAGCAAATTCTATTATATGTCAGCACAAATTTTCTTCAAAAACTCAGTGGGATTCAAGCACCATTTCATCAGAAACAAAGATCAAATTTTACTTGTGATGTTTGTTCTATTTCTTGCGAAATAAGAAGAGTATTTTGCGGGCACTTTGTGTTGCCCAGAGTCTTGGCAAAAGTACCAGGCAAGAAACTGGGGAGATTGACTACATACTCCTGAATTGATCTTTCTATTGAAGCCGACTTTTTGGAGAATGAGATAATGAGGTGCCGGATATCAATGAATAGATTTGTTGGCTGATGTGATTGATCCAAAGTATGTGATTGCAATCTCCCAACTTTCTTGCCCGGTACTTTTGCCAAGACTCTGGGCGACACAAAGCGCGCGCAAAATACTTTTCTTACTTCGCAAGAAATAGAACAAAGATCAAAAATGAAAATTAATCTTTATTTCCAATGAAATGGTGCTTGAATCCCAGTGAATTTCTCGAACTTCCAGCCTAGTAGTGTTAACAGATCCAACTGACCAATCATTTGTAGGATAACCAAAGATGGACATAGGCTAATTTCTAAACAGCTTTTGTTTGCCTGGTTGTTGGAGTCACATATTATTGGGCATTGGATCCTTGTGACTCGAATTGTGTTTGATGGCAACAGCTTGTTGACTGTTGACCTTGCCACTGCTCCTATTTTCAAGCCATCTACTGTTCTGATCTCACTTCGATTGTTAAAGCGCTCTCACAGCTATTTTCATCAAAGCGCATAACACGGGGATCATGAATACGTACCTCAATCCAACGACTAGCTGGGAATACAACAAACAAAGGACGTGCCTTGTACCAACTAGTCAAAACCGGAGCAGTGCATTTTAATTTCGGTACCAATCAAGGTTCTCAGGCTTTCCCGCCTCTATTATGAGAATAGGGAGCGGGGTAAAGTGGCTCTGTCCTTTCTTTCCTTTCTTTCCTCCTCCACTTCTTGACTATGCAATCGACTACTTTACCCATGACACGGCCTGAGCGTAGTCTTTCTGTGGATTCTACATCCTCAATGAACACGTTAAAGCTATCATTCGAGAAATTCGCTAACGTTAGACAAACAGTCAAAGGCCTTTGTCCACGAATTCGCATCCTGGTAATGGGCAGGCGAAACGCAGGGAAGACCACTCTGCTCCAAAAGATGGCTAATAGCTCGGACGGGCAAGCAATCATTCACAGCAGAGAAGGTGAACTTGTAGGGTTCCATTTAGGTTTGGAGTAATGGCCGTGCAAACTTACTTATATCTGTCTAGATTGACCCCGACACAATTCTTCGGCCTTCAGTAGAGGTAAGCTTTGGGTGTAAGATTAAAGAAGGAACTGGGTTCTTACTGAAGCTACTGTATTGGGTAGCGGGGTCATAGTCATATTGAAAACGAAATTACATATCCTAGGTATAGTATTACCATTCGAGTGCGGTCCATACTAAATCTCTCCATCCCAGTGATGAAGACTACATTTTTCACGATTCAAGAGGAATGGAGGCTGGCTCTGAGGAAGAACTTGATATCTTGAAAGCGTTTATCAAAGACAAACAAGAACAGAGATATCTCAGCCAGCGCCTCCATGTCATTTGGTCAGTTTTGCACTTTACCCCTACCCAGTGCACCCTATTCTAATCTATTCTATTTCCCTTGAAAAAAGGCTCTGCCTTCCGGTGGATAATGACCGTCCACTGGGGCAGCAAGAAATGGCCTTCTTCGAGCATGGGACAGAGGGAGGTTGGTTGTTGATCTTATTTTCAATTATGCATAAGTCAAATGGAGTGTCTGCATGCAGTACCTGTCATTTCTGTCTTCACAAAATTTGAGGGGAGAGACACTAAAGCCTTCAGCCAGTTGCGAGAAGATGGGAAATCAATGGCGGACGCCAGAAAAGAAGCACCGGACAAAGCAATGGCGGACTTTGGAGAGATTCAATGTCAGCGTTTCGCCAACGTGAAGAATCAACCAGCCTATTCTGTTTATTTGCGAGGTGCATGATATCGCTATATCCGTTAATGAGTACTAAAGAGCCCCCAGAAATGCATAAACCATCCGGAAGCTGTAAAGAACTCACGGAAATTACCAGGCAGCTGGTACAGAACCAAGTGTATCAAACACTTTTCTCGGAAATTAAAACCAGCGATATTAAGGTTAAAATGGCTATTGCGCTCGTACAGTGAGCAACTACTCTTATTATACCCCCATGTATTGATGATATTTTGAACCAGTGCCATAGTCTTATCAAGCAGAAACGAGCTTGCAGTCGGAGCCCACAGCCAATTGAAAGAGTGGACGATATTTCTGCTGTCATTGTTTCCATATTGGGCAAGTTGTAGAGTTCTCCTATACTGCTGTCCTTGTTGTATTCATATGGGCTATGGGTATGCGATATGCGTCATCAGGATGTGAGCATTTTGAGCCTTCCCTCTTCTGTCAACTCTGTTTTTAACATGACTTGCACAGAATGTAAGGGATAATTTTTCCGAGGTCAAGGACGCTGAAGAGCTTACCGATACGATGATATTGCAGTATCTTGTAAGTCCTTTCAGATTATTGACAATTCGACAACTAGCATGATGTTGATTGATCATGGTCTTCTGCCATCGTGACATCCAGAAAGTACGCTATTTGATCTGCCTGAATTCAAGCATCATTTGTAAACGCTTATTTTTCTAGGTGGTAAATCTGCTTGCATTACTATCATTCGAATGTCTACTTACGTACAGTTATGATTTATCCCCAGACAGTAAGTGACACTGATGATTCACATTAGAGTCCTCATGCTAATATTCATCATCAGCATGTGAGCACCAGCCTTGAATCCTTTGCCGCTGATGTATTCACAATCTTCTGATTGTTTCTGTTAGCATGTAGGCCCACTTTATATTTTGCTGGATTTTGAGACTTAAATCTTCTGGAATGCAGTGGGTATGTCTGATATCACCTTCAATAACTTCCAAGAGCAACTAAATGTCTGACTTGCGGTTTTGTACCAGAATGTGAGTTATACAATCATATCAAGTTACCCCCTTGCATTACTGACTCAGTTTTAGTGGGTACGTCAACAGTCTCGTTAGAGTCATACTTGAATAACTCGTACTTGTCTTGGTTCGGTAGAATGTAAGTCTTCTGAAACTTTTAACCACCTCTAGCAGCTAATAATGGCTATACAGTTTGCTGAGAAACAATTTAAACTGGTATGTCCTTCACATCTCAGCTGTTTGTCCTTCACACCTTAAGCATTGCCTCCTTACTAGGCTGTAAGTACATAGCTAGAAACTTCACTTGAACCATCGGACAATGAAATCTCCGACTGCCTCTATACATAACAGGTCGTAAGTATTTATAATTTCGGGAGACGTCCGTCTTTCCTTAGCATTATACAGGAGGTTAGTTTGTCCCGTGTCGTCCGCGAGAAAGATGTTCTTCAGCTTTTCAGGTTACCAACCCGTCCACGCCTTCCGTGGATCTAATTTTGCAAGCATGTCTTTCCTGGGTAAGAGTCATTCACTCATTTCCAGCGTCTCGATCACCAATGCTTATTGCTAGGTGGATCCAAACTTCAAGAAGGGTTTACAATTGCTCACTTACTTTGTTGGTTAGTATTTTTTTCAAGTGGGATAAATATAACCGACATACCCTATTGAACAGATGTTCTAATGATTGCGGAACATTCATTCTGGTTCGAAGGCGAAAGGCCCTGGGACCACATTGCTGAAACTATTTCTGACTACGATAGTTGTTTCCAACGGAAGTCGATTCGGACCGCCATCGACGAATTGTTCCAGAGCATGGCCAATCCTGAATATCACCACACAGCGTTTGGTTTTGAGGGTCCACTTCAGAGCCCTGCCTTGCGAAAATTAGCAATAAAACATACACCCTTGTTGTTGCATCACCGGCTCCCTTCTGCGTCGGACGCAGAGTCCCCAGTGCAACCATGTAAGTATTCTTTGATTTATTTAAATTGCTACCGCTCAAATGAGTACACTTTGCAGATTCCAACTGAGATCTGCTCGTGGAATACCGTCCTACAGCTATAAAGCTATCTGTGGCATATACTCCTTTTGACTACTTTGACTACTGGACTCCACCCTTTAGTTCAACCTTAGTTTCTGTAGTGCATGACTGGCTATCATTGAAAGGTCAAGGTCATATATAAGGGCTCCGTCATTAAGATCCCCGGCATGTATTAAAACCAAGCCCCCTTTCGCAGGCGTATCCGCTCTGTGGCTTGTGCTCTTGCGGGGCTTGGGCGATGGGTCTGGTGCTCCTCCACCCCTGACCAGTCAAAACCCAATTCTCAACTTGTAATGCACAATGAATAGCTATGGGATGCACACTCCTACCAGTAATACAGGCAATTGTGATAGACTCTTGAGATGCATGAAGGTACTAAATAAGCATGGCCTAGTCTACTATACTAAGCATAATCCACTCTTCCCTGTATTATATATACTTAGAGTA